CGAGATTTGTGCTTGGGATCATTGTCTTGCTGGAACAACCATCTGAGTGGCATTTCTTCATCAGCATGAGGCAGCATATTATTCTCCAATATGTCTTTGTAGAAAAAACGGTCCATTATCCCATCAATTTTAACAAGAGGACCAACCCCTGAGCGAGAAAAACACCCCCATACCATTATACTCCCAACCCCATGTTTTACTGTGGGCATCTGGTACTTATGGCTGTACCGTGTACCTTTTGGTCTTCGGACATAACGTCTCCCGTCACTACCAAACAGTTGAAACTTGCTTTCGTCGCTAAACAGTACAGTATTCCATTTCTGATAAGACCAGGTGAGATATCTTGAGCAAATTTAAAGCGGGCCATCCTATTTTTCTTTGATATTAGTGGTTTCTTCACCGCAACTCTTCCAAAAAAAGTCCCATGTCATCCAACCTTCTTCTCACCATGCGTGCAGATACCGATATTCCCCTTTCACCCATTTCTCGAGAAATGTCTGTGGATGTTTTTCTTGGATCTCCCATTGATATTCTCTTCATTACTTTCATTGTCCTGTTGCACAACTTTCTTGGTCTTCCTGACTTAAAAGCTGTTGAAACGTTCCCTGTTTTATTAAATTTACGAATTATTTTCGAAACGGTGTTTTTTAAAATGTTCAAATTTTTACTTATTTGAATTTGTTTATAACCGCTCTTGTATAATTCAACTATTTTATTTTTTAAATCCGTAGAGAAATATTTAGACTTGGGCATGATGTTTATATTTATAAGCTGTTCATTTATATTCCTGAGAGTTTAAGCATAGCAATATTTTCAGTGATTTTAAAAAGTAAAAAGTTTCCATACTTTTGGCCACCACTGTATATCTTTGTTTGATTGGTGAATAATTTATAGAATAAAATTTCCTTCGTCTGTAAAAAATTATGTTCTGCTGTAAAACATGTCAAGTTGCAACATTTATTTATTTATTTCCTGACATTGTCATTCGTTTTGACATTTGAGTTTTGTATTACGAGTTTTTGGTTTAAATGAATTGGTGTTGTGATACTTTAGCTAAAGAAAATTCCTGGCAGACTTTGCAGTGGAACATTGTTCTTTTCAGGACCTCTTTTAGTGCGAAGTGTACAAGATAGCTTAATAGCCGTTGCAAAAAACTCATCGCAACCTTATTAGAATCTTTTGAATGGGAAAGCGGTAGTAATGTCCCTTGAGTGCTGTTAAGGAGGCCAGTTTTATTGGTGTAGATAATAACTGTTTATACATTTTTGTTTACTAAAGTATTTTGATTAAAAGAAAGTATGTCTTTCGGTCAAGCTTAATCACATGACTAAAATTTTATTTGGTATGATCTACCGGGTGTTGCATCGTCGGACGGGACATAGGAAATCCCATGTAAATTTTAATGGGGTCAATTATTGACTTCCCTAATTATTTTAGAGAATAATTCTATCTAGGTTTATTGAAGAGCACTAAAACTCACATTCAAAAGAATAACTTTAGATATTTTTGATTAGCTCGTTTACGAGTTATCGCCGATTTCTTTTTAAATATTTCTCCTTTCTTATGGCCCTGCGTATTTACTTATGAGCACCAGTCAAGGTAAAAGATAACTGTCAAATGAAGTTGTCATTTCAGAAATTTACCTATTTAGTGCTTTATTATTATTAAAAACTCATTCCTACATCGGAAATCTTAAATATGTATTTATAAATACAAATTAATATGAATTAAAGTAAAATAAAGTAATCAATTACAAGGTTAATTATATTATTATTACAATATTCAATAACTTATTAATTTAGGTACTATTAAATTGTTAGAACTTTAGGATTTAAGATGTTCAAATATGCCTCCATCGACTGCTAGACAATAACCCAGGCGATTATAAAATTCTCTTCTTACATTCGCTAGTTGGTAAACTGAAATTCTATTGCATTCGGCAGAAATAGCATTTTTAACTCGTCTAGATTTGGGTATTTTTTATCCTTGTATATCTTGTTTTTTGAATGGCCCCAGAGAAAGAAATCATTTGGCGAAATATCAGGAGACCTTGCTGGCCAATTTACTTTATGATTTAGGCCAGGTAAAGCAGCTAAAATATGATTTTCGAGTAGTTCCAAATAATATTCTGCATTTAAATTTCGCGTAAGAAATAATGGCCCAATAATATTTTGTCCGAATATCCCTGCCCAAACATTTGCTTTCTGTGGATATTGCGTCCTTGTTTCGACAAACCTGTGTTGGTTTTCTTTGTTCCAATATCGATAATTTTGAACATTGGGTTCATTATTTAAGGTAAACGTGCATTCGTCAGTGAAAACTATGTTTTTTTTTAATTCCCTATCCGTGTTTGCTCTTTCCATCATGCCGTATTTCGTCCCCATCTCGTAGCTCTTGTCGTTTCAAAATTCGAAACGCTCGCTGTAGTGTGATCTATTCCTATTTCATCCTCAAGTTTCCTTGTGCTGAACTTCCCATCGTTCTCTTCCACGCACAATAAAACTTCCAAGTCGGTATAATTTCTTGCATCTTCTCTTTGTTCCTGCCTCGTCTCACATCTGCAGTTATTTATTAGGGTACCTTTGGTCTCAAATCTCTGGATATTCCTTGCGATTGTTCATTTTCCAGGTATCGGTCTATTCGGATACAGAGCAGCAAACATGTCCGACACTTGATAATACCATTTAATCATCAATACTTTTTCTTCGGTAGTGTAATTCATGACTAATATTTTCGATGTAGGTATGAGTTTTTAATAATAATAATAAAGCACTAAATAGATAAATTTCTGAAATGACAACTTCATCTGACAGTTATCTTTTACCTTGACTGATGCTCATAAGTAAATACAGGGCCATAAGAAGGGAGAAATATTTAAAAAGAAATCGGCGATAACTCGTAAACGGGCTAATCAAAACTATCTAGTTATTCTTTTGAAATGTGGGTTTTAGTGCTCTTCAATAAACCTAAATAGAATTATTCTCTAAAATAATTAGGGAAGCCAATCATTGACCCTATTAAAATTTACATGGGATTTCCTATGTCCCGCTCGACGATGCAACACCCGTGTATAGGGCAGACTTCCATGTAAATCATCGTAAGTTGACTGGCTGTTTAGTGAATATGCTGTGATATTACTCAACAATAATGTTGTGATTTTTTGCTTCAAAGCATTCGAGTGAGGTGTATTTATTATGTGCTTAACCAACCGAGGATAAAATCTTCTAATTATTATTTTTATTCATGAAATGTGCAGTTTGTTTTTGTTAAAACCTGATGTTAACAAGAAAGTAACAAAATTATTTATGATCAAAATGGCATTTTAACAACAATGTTCTTTGTACTTAATATATTTTTCCTGTCAAATAGTAGTCATTTTTAATTAACTTTTAAATTCATTTTATTTTGTTTCAAGTCCGTTGTTATTAGTGTTGTTTTTTTTCTGTATTTATTTCTCGTTGCATTTTGGTTCTCATATCGAATTGTTATTTAAATAAAAAAGACTTATCTATTGAAATTTTCTTCTGAAATTCAATCATTACTATGCACTTCATTGTTTAACAAATCAGTAATTGAAAAAAAGTTATAGCGTCAACTTAACATGGCATAACATAGTTAATACTTGAGCGATAATCGATTTTTTTCGGTGTTGAAGCTAAAAAAAGTGATGATTGAACATGAATTAAACGCCTCGTGCTGAGGAATTTTTGCGATATGTTGTTCATATTTGTTAGGTAAATAATTGTTAAAATTTGTAACAAAGCATTCCACTGAGTAATCAAAAATAATTTATTATTAAGATTGGGTTAGTTATACGTTATTTGGGTGTTGCATTGTGAAAATAGTATTTAAAATAGCTAGGTTTCATTGATATGCGAAAATTATTTTGAAGGTGCCATTGACAGTTAATTTTTGTACTTGTTCACGTACTTTTTTTTGGAAAATACTTCGTAATAAAGGGGTGAAAAGCATATTATAAACATAAAAGTTGCTAAATTTACGAAGGATCTGATACTTTCTAGTGACTAGTGAGTTCTAGTGAGTCTTATGGCAGTTTCTTTCAAAAAGGAAGGAAAAAGCATCTCCCAGTTGTTGTTTTCAATCAAAATTTAGTTTTGCCACGAACCAAGGCCTACAGTAAATGGAAACAAGCGACGAAATGAAATTGGCCTCAGATTATCCAAATTCTAAACTAAAATACCGTATGATCGAAAAAAAAACGGCGTCAACGATGGCTATGAAATGAAGATCGTTGTTATTTTATATGTAAAATTATATGGGGAATGTCATTGATGTTCATTTCCAAGCCAACTGGACACTACTACGGTACTTTCAAAAATTAAAGGTTACTATCAAACTAGTCAAATTTTAAACTTTATGGCACTATTTTTTCTGTTCATACCAAATAAATTTTTTGTTACGTGATTAAGCTTGACCGGCACAGCGTTGCCCATTTTTTTATTTTTTTGTTGTAATCAAAATATTTTAGGAAACAAAAATAAATTAATTGTAAATATATAAACAGTTATTATTTACATCAACAAAACTCACCTTCTTAACAGCACTTAAGGGACATAAAGGGCCATTACTACCGCTTTCAAAATATTCTAGTAAAGTTGCGATGAGTTTTTTACGGCTATTAAGCTATCTTGTACACTTCGCACTAAAAGAGGTTCTAAAAAGAACAATGTTCGACTGCAAGGTATACTAGAACAAATTTTCAAGCTCAAAGAACAAATTTATTTAAACCAAAAACTCGTAATAAAAAACTTAAGTGTCAAAACGAATGACAATATCTGGAAAGAAATAATAGTCAGCGCGGCGCCGAATATGTCCATGGTTGGCAACAATGAATTTAAAAATCGCGCCTTGATAACCTAACTAAAAATTTATTTGATATGAACCTAAAATTTATTTGTCATCAATAGTCGTAAACATTTATTTTTCACAATATATTTTTTTTGTTTCAAAAGAAATTTAGAATGTCTTATAATTTACAGGTAATGGCTCAAGATGTGAAAAAAGAAAATCCCTTACAGTTCAAATTCCGTGCCAAATTTTACCCAGAAGACGTTGCCGAGGAACTTATACAAGATATCACACTCCGACTCTTCTACCTTCAAGTTAAGAACGCCATTTTATCCGATGAAATATACTGCCCTCCAGAAACTTCCGTTCTGCTAGCGTCCTACGCGGTTCAAGCTAGGCATGGGGATTACAACAAAGCTTTACACAACGCTGGATTCCTAGCCAATGATAGACTGTTGCCACAGAGGTAATGTTTATATTTTAAGCCTTAGTCCATTAATTGCATGGGGGATTTTTGATGCCTTCTCACCAGGGTTAGGTAAAAAAACGAAAAGAAAAAAGAAAATTAATATTCTACGTGTATGTAGAAAAGTGCGTAGAAAATGTAGAATTTAAGTAGAAAATGTATAAAAATCTGAGAATAGGTACAAAATTAATGTTGTATATTTAAAGCCGTTTTTTCGTGTAGATTATATAGTATTGGGTGTAGAAAAATAATTTTCTACGTCTAGAAAGTACCGTATATTATATAAAATTTCCTACCTACCCAACCTTACCCAGAAGAGTATGCCCAGAAGCAGTCCACTGTTTCCCCAGAAGCAATCCACTGTTTCCCCAGAAGCAGTCCACTGTTTCCCCACAGGCAGTCCACTGTTTCACCAGAGGCAGTCCACTGTTTCCCGATGGGCATCCCACTGTTTCCCCAGAAGGAGTCCACTGTTTCCCCAGAAGCATTACACTGTTTCTCCAGAAGCAGTCCACTGTTTCCCCAGAAGTAGTCCACCGTTTCTTAAGAAGCATTCCACTGTTTCCCCAGAAGTAGCCCACTGTTTCCCCAGAAGCATTCCACTATTTCCCTAGAAGTAGTTCACTGTTTCCCCAGAGGCAGTGCACTGTTTCCCCAGAAGTAGTCCACTGTTTCCCCAGAAGCATTCCACTATTTCCCCAGAAGAAATCCACTGTTTCCCCAGAGGCATTCCACTGTTTCCTTAGAAGCATTCCACTGTTTCCCCAGAAGGAATCCACTGTTTCCAAAGAAACATTCTACTGTTTCTCTAGAAGCAGTCCACTGTTTCCCCAGAATTAGTCCACTGTTTCCCCAGAGGCATTCCACTGTTTCCCCAGAAGGAGTCCACTGTTTCCCAGAAACATTCCACTGTTTCTCCAGAAGCAGTCCACTGTTTCCCCAGAAGTAGTCCACTGTTTCCTCAGAAGCATTCCACTGTTTCCCCAGAGTCATTCCACCGTTTCCTCAGAAGCAGTCCACTGTTTCCCCAGAAGTAGTCCACTGTTTCTTCAGAAGCATTCCACTGTTTCCCCAGAAGCATTCCACTGTTTCCCTAGAAGTAGTTCACTATTTCCCCAGAGGCAGTGCACTGTTTCCCCAGAAGTAGTCCACTGTTTCCCCAGAAGCATTCCACTATTTCCCCAGAAGCAGTCCACTGTTTCCCCAGAAGCAGTCCACTGTTTCCCCAGAGGCATTCCACTGTTTCCCCAGAAGCACTCCACTGTTTCCCCAGAAGGAGTCCACTGTTTCCCCAGAAACATTCCACTGTTTCCCCAGAAGCAGTCCACTGTTTCCCCAGAAGTAGTCCACTGTTTCCTCAGAAGCATTCCACTGTTTCCTCAGATGCATTCCACTGTTTCCCCAGAAGTAGTCCACTGTTTCCCCAGAAGTAGTCCACTTTTTTCCCAGAAGCAGTCCACTGTTTCCATTGTACGACTATCTTGTTTCGGGTGTGTAACGATGTCCATACTTGTCTGTAGTATAATATATAAAATTTTCTACCTATCCAACCCTACTTCTCACCCATACTGATGAGAGTCCTGGGAATTGTCTTGAGCGAAGTCCAGTTTTAAATGCAAAAAACTAAAAAAGTAAGAAATCTAAACATGTATGTAGTTTCTAAAATACATTTTTTTACTAACTATACAGTACCCGCCAAAAAATGTTTGTATTGTTGATTCATCGAAAGAAAGTTTATGAATGTCTTAAATTTATAATGATTACTTATTTCAGAGTAATGGATCAACATAAAATGTCAAAAGACGAGTGGGAGAACAGCATAATGACCTGGTGGAAGGAGCACAGAGGCATGTTGAGAGAAGATGCCATGATGGAGTACTTAAAAATAGCGCAAGACTTGGAAATGTACGGTGTCAACTACTTTGAAATTCGCAACAAGAAGGGAACAGAACTATATTTAGGAGTGGACGCTTTGGGTCTGAATATTTATGAAAAAGATGATCAGTAAGTTTGGTTTTATATTTTTTCTTTGGAGTTTTTTCAAAGTATTTTTGTTTAGGCTAACTCCGAAAATTGGTTTTCCATGGTCCGAAATTAGAAATATCTCCTTTAACGATCGCAAGTTCATCATCAAGCCAATAGATAAAAAAGCACCCGATTTTGTTTTCTTTGCTCCGAGGGTGAGGATCAACAAGAGAATTTTGGCTCTTTGCATGGGCAACCATGAACTGTATATGAGGCGTAGAAAACCCGATACAATAGGTGAGTTTAACGAAATAATGGAGGTGTTTAAAACATATTAATGTTTGATTTCCAGATGTGCAACAGATGAAAGCACAAGCCAGAGATGAGAAGCAGGCTAAGCAAGCTCAGAGGGAGAAGTTGCAATCTGAAATTGCAGCCCGTGAAAGAGCAGAAAAGAAACAACAAGAATATGAAGACAGGATTAAATGTAAGGATATTTAATTTAAGAAATCTTTGTATTTGCTGCAAAATCTCTGATTATTAAAAAATACTACTGCTATAAGTACAGAATCAAATATATTTCGAATATTTTGATAAATAATACTTAAAAAAATAAATCATTTAATTGTAAAATTTTAGTAGCGTTAGCGAAAAGTTGTTGCATTTAATTGGGTACCTAATTATTACACAAGTTAATCGATCAAAAAATCACTTTCATTTACTTACAAATGGAATTTAAATAAATAAATATCTATAAAAATTATCTGAATTTCGTTATTACGCAAAATAGCGTTTGCCAGATAAATAATTTTTAATTGTTTTATAATTTAACTATTTCAAGTTATAGTCCTTGTCAGCGTTGTCATACAAAAAAATTGGAAATTGGAAAAGGGTCCCACAATAGTCGGGCATTTGTAGCTCTTAGAATAAAAAAAATTGTAAATTTTGTTTAAGTGGAAACCCAAAGTATGTACGAGGATGTATTTCAGGAAAATATTTTAACTTTCATAGGGTGGCTCAAAAAAGCTTGAGTGGATAGGGATGATTTTTTTTAAACAAAATACCCTGTATAATATTGTTTTTTTGGCTTTCTTTCAGATCAATTTGTATAATTCTAAGATATGGGTTGTGATATGGGATGATACCGGGTGCATCTCAAAGGTGGCTCACCCCTATAACTTTTTTTTATTTTTTCAGATAAAAAAACGAGATTTGGTATGTTAGTATATGTCATAAATTAGGATTGATTTGACGGATTCAATTGTTTTAGGTCACTTCCTGTTTAACCGGAAATGGCTACAACTTTTGATTTTTTAATAGTACCCTCGATTTTTTTTACTTTATTTGATAGAAATTGACTCTGATGTCACAAATGACATCTGAGAATGACGTATCACATGTCAACTTTTGACGTTTTTGCATATGGTTTATTTGAAATTGTAACATGGGGTTTATAACGACATTTTGACTCGAAATACGAAGTGTATGGTATCAATTTATTTGTAAAAAATGCATTTTCCAAATGTGCTAATGGGCCACCCTCGTCCCATTTGAAAAAAATGACATATGATCATAAATACGATTGATGAAAAATACGATTTGGGCATCTTTTAACTGGCCAAGACAAGATACGAAAAACATTAGACTATCAAATCTATTTTTCAAAGGCTCCTTGATTAAAAATTAGTATTTTTAACACAGCCATGGCACTCTAGATTGAAATTTAAAATACGATTTTTTTAAGCGACAATGTCAAAAGTTGACATATGATATGTCATTCTATTCAGAGCGTCATTTTCTATGGAATACAGTTTAAAAATTCCGGGGGTGCCATTTAAAGATCAAAAGTTGTAGTCATTTCCGGTGAAACAGGAAGTGACCAAAAACAACTGAATACGTCAATCATTCCTACTTTACATCATATCGTCCTATTGCTACCAAAAGTCATTAACTAACATTTTTCCGAATAACCTGAAAATCCAATAACTAACTATATTTTGAAGCGGAGAGTCGATTGAAAAAGTCATTAACTACGATTACTGGCAATTTATGCTGTATTTTAATACCGATTAGTCTCTAACAACAACTTTATGCAATGTAATTAACATTAAGACGCGTTTTTCTTGGAAGTAACAAAAGTAAGTTAGTGACTTTTGGCAGCAGTAGGACGATATATTAACATACCAAATCTCGTTTCTTTATCTAAAAAAATAAAAAAGTTGTAGAGGTGGGCCACTTTTGAGACGCACCCGGTATATATTTTTCAACCTTTCTTAAAAAAAATTATTACAAATACAAGAACTGTCTTGAAATCAAAACTATATTAGGTATTTAGTTTATAGATGGTCTATACTTACTTGACAATACATCCTAATACTTACTGTAGGTTTGCAGTTGAACACAATTCTCAAGTTTTTTATTCTAGGAGCTACAGATGCCCGGCGCACTTTTGCCGGACCCTGTATATATTATCTGACTTTTTTCTATTTTAAACTTGAAATTTTTGAATTTTTGTATGTTTTTCAACACTAACATTGAAAATTAAGAATTTCATTTTTGGAATAATTATAAGAAATTTCAACCGACATTGTTGAAACATTGCTCTCCATTATAAAATTACTATACATTTAAATTTAAAGACACAGTGAAGTTAAGTCATTTTTTATAATTTTAAAAACTATTTTCAGCGATGCAAGAGGAAATGGAACGTAGTCACGCTAATCTTGTAGAAGCCCAAGAGATGATCAGGCGACTGGAAGAGCAACTACGACAACTTCAAGCTGCCAAAGACGAACTGGAGAAACGGCAGAACGAACTGCACAGTATGATGGAACGTCTGGAAGAAAGCAAGAACATGGAAGCCGCAGAACGTCAAAAACTTGAGGACGAAATCCAGGCTAAACAGCAAGAAGTCCAACGTATTAGAGAAGAAGTAAATAGATGCTTGAAGAATATTGTTACATATGTTTTTTTAATACAACTTTTTTAGGTCGAAGCCAAGGACTCCGAAACTAAGCGCCTTCAAGAAGAAGTCGAAGCAGCTCGTCGTAAAGAAGAGGAGCTTAAACAGCAACAGCTGGCGAATGCTACCAAGGGACATTTGGAGGAAAATAACCATGACGAAGACGACGAAATGGTTAATGGTGATGTTAGCAAAGATTTGAACACGGACGAAAACATCATTGACCCCATTGAAGATAGACGTACATTAGCTGAACGAAATGTTCGTCTGCACGATCAACTCAAGGTAACCCGTTTTTCAAATACGATATTTTTAGTTAACCTAAATCCTGTAATATACTATATTTATGCAATAACCTATGTATCTAACCATATGATCACAAAGTGATCGAGCGATAGAGCAGGCTTTGACTTTTGACAGTTAAAAGAATAGACAGCCTAAAGCTTGATTTTCATACATCCGTTGTCCGACGATACAATGATACGATATTAATTTTATTGGTTGAATTTAAAGACTTTGATTGCTTAGAAAATTACGCAGATTTTAAATTTATTGCATTTCCATATCGACTTCGCTGTTTTACTTATGGTCTAATAGCTAGCAACGTTTTCGAGAGAGAATTTTAAGAAATCTGGTTGTTTAATATATCTTTTGTTTTATACTTTCCTGAACAGAGTGCGGACCGTCTGGCTGCCGGTAGACGTTGCTACTGCGCATCATATCTGTATTCAACGTCTGTTTACTACTGCGAATCACAAATACACCCTGCATTTTAGGAAATAAGGAGGCTAGGACAAACATATGTGTAGCATATTTAGTTTCATAAAAAAGTAGCAAAATAATGTGAAAATCGCATCATTATATCTCTACTCATAAACGAGAAATCCCATAAAACACACGAAAATGGGATACAGATGTGATGCGCAGTAGTCTACCGGCAGCCAGACGGCCCGCACTTTGGTCAGGAGAGCATAGCAAAAGATATATTAAAGAACCAGTTTCCTTAAAATTCTCGTTTTCCCGACAGTGCTAACTCTTGTACCATTATAGTTTTATTAAGGTTAGATTAAATTTATCCAAAAAGTGTCAAAATGTCCGTTATCGTACGATCTTTCTCCGTTGTGGTCCGCTTGATCGTAAAACTTTTTGATCATACTGTATTCATATAATATGCATCATCATATTCATCTACAGTTTAGTGGCGGGTTTATTACTGGATATGCTGGATATATATCGGTTGTTTGTATAATGATTTTGTTGTCACTCTGTATACCAGTTCTTCCAGTAATAAATCCTAGTGTTTCTATTTAGGCTTTATATAAAATCACTAGACCAAAGTAATTATTTCAGGTTCCCATTTGTTGCCGACTTTGTAAAGATAAGAGAATGCGTTTAGAGGTACCTCAGTGTTTTTTGCATTGTATAGCCGATTTTTAATTTCAATAGAAAACTATATTTTTCGTGCTGTTAAGGTGCATCCATACCGGCTGCGCCGCGCCGCGCAAAACATTTTTTTAACATGTACTTTTGGAATGTATTTTTTAGCGCGTACCAAAGTATGTGTTAAAAAAGCAGCCGGTGTGGACGCACCTTTATTTGAATTATGGTATGACCGAAAAATAATTCAAAAATAAAAAAAATATAGTTTTTTCGTAATCAATGTGTTACAAAAAACTAATTTATGCATGAAATGTGTGGTACCAAACGTAAAAATTAACTTAATCATAATAAACCCAACCCATAATGAAATACAAGTACCTAAAATACTTTATCATACTTATCGCCTATGATCAATAAAAGCAATTTGTTGTAGAGATACAAATACTTTTTGCACTGATGTTATTTTACTTTATTTTTAAACGATTTCAAACGTTCCAAATAATATAAAATCATTTAAAAGTAATACCTTGTATGTAATTATATCGAGAAACTATGGTTACGCTCGTTGAATTTGACACTTTATGTCAGTTTAATAATATATTTTCGTACTTTTATGCCTAGGCGTTAAAATGACTTTTTTATAATGTCAAAATCACGTCGCAAAAATTAATACTTCTGTGACGTTTGAAAAAAATATTTGTAACATTGGATATTTTCAAGATCTAATATTGCTTTGAAAAGTACATGTAACCTTGGCAACTTCAGTTTAATTCGAACTGTTATAAATACACGTTAATTTTTTAAAACAATAAGGTAGAATTCAATTTGAGTTCATCCAGGGTTGGGTAACGACGCGTAGAAAATTAATTTTCTACGTGTATGTAGAAAAGTGCTTAGAAAATGTAGAATATTAAGTAGAAAATGTATAAAATCTGAGAACAAGTAAAAAATAGTATAAAATCTGAGAACATTCATTTTGTATATTTAAAGCCGTTTTTTTTTTCACCTTAGGGGTTACTTCCTTTCCATTTTCTTTAAATTGTATAAGTGTTAAAACTGCAATATGTGTGCACGCGCTATCTCTCTATTCTGTGACGGTATACTAACTCCTTGAAGATAAGAGACAGAGTAATCGATCTGAAGACTATTAGAATATTTTTTTCTGTTTAATCTGAAGACCATACAGAAAAGTCTGATTTTTTTTTCTCTGGAAGTTTTTGTTCCTTTTTTAAATTTTACCATAGAAAACCTTTGGTTTCATAAACTATATACGAATAATAATAATTATTGTAGTTTGTAGTTCTTATTTTCATTTAGGGAATGCAATCCCGCAGCAAAATCTCAATCCCGCAAACCCGCGGGATTAAAGCAATCAATCCCGCGGGATCCGCAAAATTGCGGGATTGTAAACAATAAATGCTCCTCTTTGTACTTAACCTATTAAACTTGCTAATATAATGTAATATAATAATAAATATAACTATGTACGACTAATCTGTATTGAAATTGGAAAAAAAACAATTTGGTGGGTTTTTTAAAAATTTTTGTTTTAAGGAAAATATGAAGTTTTTTCGAAAAATATGCATTTATAGCAGGGTTGGCATGATTTAAATCAAGTGATTTTTTTAATTTTAATCATTGATTTAAATAAAAAAAAATATTAAAACTTGATTATAAATCAAAAAATAACTGTAAAAGTTATAAAAATGTGTCCTAGAAAACTATAAAAAATATTTCTATCAAAAATATAACAGATAATAAATCGAAAAGTAATCGTAAATGTTATAAAACTATATAAAAATATCTATTCATCAATTTAAATGTTGGACCGATTTTTGAAGTAATTTCGTGTGAATCCATTAGACCGCTAAACGTAGGGATTTATTTTAAAATTTATGTATAAGTGACAAAAATTTGCAGTTAGAATACATATCATTCGCAGTCTAGTGCAGAACTAGATTCTTCTAATATAGAGACTATATCTTCATTCCCGAGAATCTATAATAATAATCGTTGTCAGGAAATATGTTGTTTTATATTTTTTTTTGAAATGGTTGTATTTTTCCAATTCTTACCGACATGTATGACTAAAAATGCATATTTTTCGAAAAAACGTCGTATTTTCCTTAAAACAAAAAAAATTAAAAAACCGACCAAATTGTTTTTTCTAATTTCAATACAGATTAGTCGTACTGTCGATTTTTTAAGAATTGTAAATTTGCGGTAAAAAAGATTCTTGACCAAATTTTCACACTCTTCTAAAACACCCTGTATACGATAATTCGCTAAATATATTTTCGAAAACCACAGAGCATCTTAGTCCCAATAGATGCATTTAAAACCTCATCCCAAAATCTTTTTTAGTTCAAGAGATATTCAACTTTAAATTTACCTTAAAATTTTGCTTGTCCCGATAATTATGTCCGGCAGTTTATTTGACGAAATTGTCCACAAGTACTAGTTAAACACTTTTCTTCACTTACGCTGCTTATACGCACATACGCCAGAAAGAAATCTAACAACTAACGTGTTTGTTTCACTTATTTTTAATGGCCAAGGCGTAAGGGGATTTAAGTATTCAGTTACCTAGTAGTAATGTGTCAATCCCGCAGATCCCGCACGGTAAATCCCGCAACTTTGATCCCGCGGAATTTCAGCGGGATCCCGCATTTGCGGGATTGCATTCCCTACTTTCATTATGTTGGATCTTATTTTTTGTTGTTGTTCTGTCTGAGTCTTACCAAAGTTTACAGAATTACATAGAATTATTCTGTAAACATTGATCTTACTATTGAATACTTTTAAGATATCTGTAAACTTCGACTATAGTATGTAACAAATCAAGGAAAATTTCATTAATATAATAAACGCCACGAATGTTTGGGAGTGATTCATCGGTCGCTACCATGTGAACTAATCTGTTCAAGGTCACATAAAACTAAATTCCAGTGCCGTGGTGTTTCAAGTCATATAATAATCAATATATAATCTGTTGTAATTTGTTGTTTTAACTGTCAAAGTCTTGTCAAAACATATATTTTTGGTTATAAATATAAACTGGAATGCCCCATTGGTCGCACTGCAAGCACACCAATGGACTGATGCACAAAAACGAATCAATCAAAGTAACGCGATATTGTATCGTCTTTGTCAATCACACTAACACACGTTTTTAATGTAAAAATGATAGCGCGCGTGTCGATTCTAACTTCATCAAGCGATGAATCACTCCCAAACATTCGTGGCGTTTACTATAGTTTTTTTTTTGACATACTATATACTATCCATTTGTTAAATAATAAATAACAATTGGAGATATCGTTATTAGTTTATTTTTTGTACTAATGGTTGTGATTGAAGTATTTGAAATAAATAGAAACTCAAAAAAGGCTTACATTATACAAAACTAATTTTCTACGTGTAAAAAATACTGTAGAAAATATAAAATGTTCTATCTACCCAACCCTGAGTACATCTAAAAACTTAAGATGACATTAGTATTTTTGATCCAACCTTATAAGAAATGTGACGTGGAATAACTTGTATGTAATTCAACATAACTTTGATCTTATTTTTTTATTTAACATTAAAAATTATAACTTTTTTTTGATAGGTTAAAATATAATAACAAGAACAACAAATTGTCTTTTAATTGATTGGCGCAATGTGGCTTATTTTGTTAATAGTTTTCAATTAAATGTTGAATATTTGTTACAGGCCTTGAAGATCGATCTTGCGCAGTCGCGGGATGAAACCAAGGAGACGGCGATGGACAAGATCCATAGAGAAAATGTCCGCCAGGGTCGGGATAAGTACAAGACCCTTCGCGAAATCCGTAAGGGCAACACCAAACGTCGCGTGGACCAATTCGAGAACATGTAATTCGAATTTACGACCTAGTTATTTATGTAAAGAGTTATTATTTTACGAGTCAGGTACTTTTAAAATTTCAGAACTATTTACAATTTTTGGCGATTTTTCCGGTTTACTTAAGCAAATTCTAAGATGCTCAACATTTTTACTGTTCGGGTTAATTATTCAATAACTATTTTTTTTTTAATAAATACATTCAGATACCATAAAATGGTAGGTAATAACACTAGATCTACTTGCAGTTGATTTTTATGCGTAGAAACGTATTAGTTATTATTGTTGATGAGTCTATTTTAAACTTGAAAGTTTTTAAAAATTGTTATCACAGTTTTAGTTAAGTATTAAGAGTTTTATTATCTACCATAAATAACGTTATAGTTAGTTTCATAATAAGCTAAAATTCCGCTTCTTTGCTCATAAGTGGCCTTACAAATTCAACAGTTGCTTTATTAGAGTATTCTTACTCTTTAAAATACAAAAAATTGTGTTTATTTTTCATTGATTTGTATTGTGATGATACAGAAATATATTGAATCACTAGATCTGCGCTAAGTATTTGTACGACTCTTCAATTATATTTAAATATTATTTAATACAAACGCATTCCATTTAATGGTAGTTTTTCTATAAGTTAGTGCCATTTGGTAAAAGGGCGTAATAAAGTATCGATCAATATTGATCTATAAAGTATTAAATTTCAAAATTAACGTTCGATTTTTATGAAACAGTATCTTACGGTCTAAATTTTGTTGGTATAGGGACTTTTACTTTAGGGGTTACTGTTTTTAACATAACAGTAAGGAGATTCATATTTAAAAGGATTTTACATACTATAAGTCTATGGTAATCTATTTTTTTTTTTGATTCTAATTTTTGATAACAAAAATATACAGGGTGTGCCTAAAGTTCGCAACCGATGGAAAAAAGAATTATTGAATTAATGAAAAAATCTCTCTTCTCTTTATACAGGGTGTCATTGAAATGGTGTAAAATTTTGCGCATTTTTCGCCCTATACTTATAGGAAGTTTTTTTACTATTTTTAGGAGTACTATCACCCCCCGATATTTTTACACCATTTCAATGACACCCTGTATAATAAAAATGTTTCTATTTATTGCAAACTTTGTGACATGCCCTGTATAATAAAAGAACGGCCTGGTGCTTCCTTTTTTATACCGTGGTTAAAGGTATTTCAGGACCATTTTCTGTATACTCCGCTGTAAGTCACACAGTGTTTTAACATATTTTTGAAGTGTTTAAATGTACTTTTTATTTTCTATTTGGACAGCGGGTATTTCAGAATTGTTCCTCTTGCAATAGATTACTCTAAATAATACAGAGCTCGTGTAAATATGATGTGAAAGTATTTTTTGAAAGTTTTTCTTTTCGTACTTTATTGGATTGTCTGTATATATACATTAGCTATACCACGTGGCCTTTTTAAGATGTAAGAGATTTTTTGATATTCTACATTTATAGGAGTAAAATTTACATCCCTATTATTTAATCGTAAAATCGAATAACGAATTTTATTTTTAGTTCTCAATAACCATATTACTACTTTGTTTCAGTTTTGTATTGGTAGTCTGATAGCAATTTACTTATCATTTATACTATGTAAGGTATTCAATAAATATTTTTATTAGGAACATCTATTTATTTTAAGTTAACGTTCCAACAAATTAGGTTATTTTTTGGAGGAAACCATTAATTGAACAAAAGGTATACAGAGTGATATACCGATCTATCTGTTCATCGAAACTGCGTGGTCTGGATTTTAACGTGTAAGACAGTGATGTAGACCGCTTAATGACAAACCAAATGTGTTAAAAAGAGATAAAAGTTGAGTTGATACATTTCTTCTATGCGGTATTGCCAGATTTTGCATCAAAATCTCACACCGCACAAGTAGGCGTTTACGAAAATCTTGCATCTAGGGTTGGAACTTTATTTTTCACAAAAGTTTGTATAAATGTATGTCCTAAAATGCTGAGTTTCGGAGATACAGGGTGGAGAAGTTTCATTTTTATTTCGATTTTTTCCAAATAATTTCAGAAATAACGTAAATATTTGGATGAAAATTGGTGCCTGGACGTTTTTTAACATGAGAAATTTCATTTTGATGTCAATATGACTCCTACTTGTAGAGGGCGCCACCTACCTATTTTTAACTGGTTTGAAGAGTAATAACTTTTCGTCCGTACCTGTATAAAACTACTGAGTAAAACAATATACATTTATGACGTTTTTTACGTAAAAAAAGTTTCTTGGTAAAAGTCGCTACGAGTAATGGTTCTCGAGATATTTGGAATCGAAATTATCAATATAGTCTATAAAATGAATAACTTTAAATTTTGAGCGTTATTTTTTACCAACATGGCTACAAAAAGTTACTGATATTCTTTAAAATGAGTGCCTGAACGAATCAGATAGGTAACTCTTTTTACTTTCGTGAAATAGAAAAGGAAAATAACAAAACAAGTAACAGTTCTTCCTCTTCTTGCAAAAATCAACGCGAAATGTCATAATTGACAAAAGTTATATGTCATCAGCCTTTGAAATTTCTAAATATCAGACCAATGCCGTCTCTAATAGAACAGCCTCGGAGCGAGATTTATGACGTCACGCTAGTTAGATACCACGGTTTAATAAATATGTTGTAGAATACATAGAAAATATAATTATTCCTCGTATTTTTGGTTTGTATTTTAATAATGATATAGTTTACATGAAATATACATAATATACAGTTAATAAATACAATATATATACCTATTTATCGTAATAAATACTTTGGCAAATAAACTATGAACCATACAATTGCAGCAAATGTTTTACAATATACAAATAATGAATAGGTACATAAAATAATGGGTAAAATATAAAATCTATTTTAAATTTTGGGGTTTGAAAATCGATCTAATTTAACAAAAAACATTCAATATCTACTAATAGTGATATATTATTATTTGCATTCACAAAATTTATATGTATATTTTGCAAGCATCAATGTTCGAAAAATTATATTTGCAAATAATACAATATCATAGAAAAAAAGGCGTCAGGGATGGCTATGCAATAAAGATCACTGTCATTTTATATGTAAAATTATTCTAAAATTTTTGATTTTGTTGGGATTTAGGTTCGGGGAAAACGCTTAAGTTTTCATTTGGTTTTTTATTATTTTTTTTTGGTTTAAAAAAACGTTATAGGTAACGTTTATAGCCTTCATCAGTGTTGTGTCATATGAAAAAAATAGTGTCGAATATAATCCAAAAAATTACATATACGAGGAATAATTATGTTTTCCATGTATTCTACAACATAATTAATCCGTAGTATCTAACTAGCGTGACGTCATAAATGTCGCTCCAAGGCTGTTCTATTAGAGACGGCATTGTATCAGCATGGCCGCAAGTTGCTAAACTAATAAAATTTACACCAGAAAAGCCCGCGGGAACTGTCAAATTCAAAGCTATTCGTTTCACAGACTATACCTGTCATCATTGACATAAATTAAACATGTTGAATAAATAGTTATAAGACCGAAATCATAAATTTGAAATGTTTTTGTGCCAAAAGTTCAACAGAAACTGTTTTATCATCATTTCTTCGCAGAAAAATGTATGATTAATTTAAAAAAATAAAAACTTTCTAGATTTATTATTTCAGTCAAATAACTATCTACCTAACGTGTTTATTTTTTGACTATTTCCATTCTAAATATCTCGAGAACGGTTGCCCGTAATGATTTTTACCAAGAGACATTTTTTACATAGAAAGTCACGAAAATGTATATTTTTTCACTCAGTAGTTTTATACAGGTATAGACGAAAAGTTATTACTCTTCAAAACAGTTAAAACAAATGTAGGTGGCGCCCCCTACAAATAGGAGTCTTATTGACATCAAAATCAAATTTCTCATGTCAAAAAACTCCCAGACACCAATTTTCAAAGAAATATTGACGTTTCTTCAGAAATTATTTGGAAAAGATTGAAATAAAAATGAAACTTCTACACCCTGTTTCTCCGAAACTAAGCATTTTAGGATATACATTTATAGCAACTTTTTTACTTATTTTTATCTGCAGAACATACTGCTGAAGTTTCCGGAATACAGTTCGGACCACCCTGTATATTATCTTCATTTTAGTAGTATACATAGTTTTTAAAATAGTTATTTTTTTTCTAGCACATTTTTTCCTACACACGTAAAAACCGGCAACACCGTATGCCGGTTTTCATTTTGTCTCTCTGTCTGTCAACCGATAATTTATATTTATCTCTGTCGCATGCATTAAAATACAGACCACGCATATGAACTGTCCAGGATGGTATATAGACCACTGGTAAATAAAAATGCCATTTTTATTGTTGATATTGCAAAAAGGGTATAAATAATGGAGAACTAAGAAACTACTAAATATATAGGGTGAACCTAAAAGTTCGCAAGAAATGGTATTTTTATTAGAGTTACTGAAAACGTAAATAGGATTTTTGGAAAAGATACCATTTGTTGCAGACTTATTTTTGGCACATCTGTAGATATAATTAATCAGTTTCAAGGAGATGGTTTACTAAAGAAAGACATTTCTTATGGTTCAAGTTTATTTTCTCTATATAAATATCTGTTAAGGTCTAATATTAGCTTAAGGATTATTAAACCATTGTCCGATACCCTAAGCACTACTAAGAAATAAGATTATAAAATTGAGATCGGGGAATTATTCCACAAGAGAAATTCATCAACGTTTTCGTCAGAATTACACAAAAAAAAGAAGATGTAAAAAACGATCAATTTTGCAATAGGGCTGATTTGATTTTGAACTTAGAGAACTTGTTAGTTAAAAATGCAATATAATCTACACAGTACTAAATACAGATATATTTTACAAGTAGATGAAACTAGGTGTCTTTAAACTATAAACACAATTTTGTTTGGCATAGTCAAAAATTACGCTCACGTCATGCTAGACATATTTATGTTTGGTGATTGTATTTCCTTAATCACAACATTCATCACAATAATTCAGTCAAAAAAGTTAATAATATAGCAATAGCAAAATAGGTATATCTAACCAATAGAAGTGTATTAATAATGATATATTTTTTAAATAATAAAATATTTACTTAGAATAAAAGTAATTTCAATATCGAGAGAAATTTTTATAACAACATCGTTATTTCAAAGTGATTTTAAATGATAATAAATCAGATATTACATAGTAATTTTCTAACTAATAAAAAAACATTACTCGTATAAAGTATGTTGTGATTTTCCAATATTTTTAGCCCTAAAGTGGTGCGAGGGCTAGCAACGTCGGGAAAACAAGTATTTTAAGAAATCTGGCCCTTTGATCTTTAACTATGCTCTCTGGAACAGCGTGCGGGCCGTCTGGCTTCCGGTAAACGTTGCGTTCACTACTGCGCACTGAAAGAATATCTAATATTTTTGATTAGTTCTTTAAATTCTAGTATTGAATATAAATATTTAATACTTTACTATCCGAATATAAACGAAAATAAAATAAAAAAGTTTTATACTCCTAACCAGTCTCGAACTTCGACTTCTCGCTTCATAGGCGGAACCTCTGCGTGCTGCGCTATGGAGACTTGTTCGATTTATATTCAATACTAGAATTTAACGGACTAAATAAAAAACATATAGGATCTTCATCCGATGCGCAGTAGTGAACGCAACGTGTTTCGGCAGCCAGCCGGTCCGCATGCTGTTCCAGAGAGCATAGTAAAAGATTTATCAAAGAGGCAGCTTTCTTAAAATACTTTCTCGAAAACGTTGCTAGCTCTTAGCCTATATAGCTATATAACAATATATAAAGTGAGCGTAATTTTGATTGGTTACAAACCTATGAAGAATTTGGTGTTTTGTTCTATGAAAAATGTACCATATAAAATTTATTTATTAAATATTCCGACCTAATTTCATAATTTCTAGTCATTTGGAAAGTATACTGCTAGTGTCTATAAATGTTCTTGTAAGATAGATCAATAAATTGTAATCATACTGTCTGATAAACATTACAGTTTAACGTTGCTTTGTGAGTCCCTCAGCATACTTTCCGAATGTGAATAACTGGCTAAATCAATTTTCGGAATATCTAACAATCAAAATTTATAGGAAACTTATAAATTATATTTTTTTACACTTTCATAATATAATAAATGCTGATAGATTTCATTTAAACAACAAATCAAATTTAAGTACCTAATTAAAACATCTATTAGAAATCTCATAAACACTAAAAAGTAGAGGTTCAATATTATGCGCCAGTTTTAATTTAAAGTATTGATATTACATATTGTTATATCACAGTTTTCATTGAAATAGTCGTAAAGAAATTTAAATTTTTATTTTAAATCAAAACTGGAACAATTTAAAGCGATATAAAATAAAAATATTTACACGAAAAGCTTGGCCTAATGAACACAATATATATATATATGATAGCGAAGTTGTTTCTTAACATTTTGCAAAAAAATCCAATAAAAACATGTTTTTGTATTGATAGTTATACAGTGTTTCACGCAAGGGGTTCATTAGAACATTTTTACGATATAATTTAAGTACAAATTTGAATGTTTCAAGGTTGTCTCCAGTCCTACTTTGTTTTTACAATATTTTCCTTTC